AAATTTTAAATTTTAAAATTAAGGAGGAAGTGGAAAGAGGTAGGTTTGGGTTAATGTAGCAGGTACTTTTTTGAAGTTTTTTTTTTTTATTTCTTAGCTTAGTTTACTCCACCAGACTATGTTAAAATTTAGTCAATCATAACATAATTGAACGGGTGAGGACACTTATATCTGATCAGGAGGTTGTGAGTTCAAATTTTTCGCCCCACATGTTGTACTAAAAAATTCATAAATTAAAAGTTCTAATCAAAGTATAGTTTTCTAATGTTTCCTTCTTTCTTTTTGAAATTTGTTATAAAATTCTAAAACATAACCGTAGAGAAAATTTATCAAATTAATAAATATGTGTGGATAAGGGGGTTGAAAAACATTAATGGAATCATTTTCATCAAATTTGATTGCTTTAAAAAATCTGTTTTTGAAAATCAAATTTATTTGCTAATATTTTGTCATTTATAATCTACCCTTAACATACAATTTTGAAAACTGATAAAATAAAATTTCAAATATTTATGTTAATTTTCAAAATTTTCTAAAATTTCACATCTATATTTAAAAACAAGTAGAAAAAAAAATCTAAATAAAAAAAACTATAGGTATATATATCTAGCTATCATCTATTTAGTTTTAAAAAAAAAATTACAGGTATCAAATAAACCCTTAGCTATCACTTCATAGTCTTGATGGTAATAATTTAAAGAGAATTATTGTGTACGAAAAGAGATTCTCTTTCACATTTTTCGTGGAAGGCTCTAATTTTTATCTTCCTTTCATTCTTTTAAGAATTACTTTGTTGTAACATGCTTTTCCCATTAAAATACTTTAAACTAAAAGTTGAATAAAGCTCAATGATTTTCCTTTTCTTTTGTCACTCTCAAAGTAATGGAATCGCTTTAAAGCTGTATATTCCAAGAATTTACAAAATGTTAAAATAAGCTAAAAAGATGTGAACTTCAAATTAAATAAGAAAAAGATAAAAGAAAAGTATATTAAGCTTCTGGAAGGTGGGAGAATTTTAGATAGAGTAGAGTAATTATTTCTCACAAATTTACAGAGTTGCTAAAAGTTACGTTAACGTGATTAATTATAATTAATCTTTGATGTTATTATGTAATTTTGGTAAAATGATGATTGGGTTGACCAAGTGCACGTGAACATGGTTCGAGGGTAGCATATTGTTAAAGATAATGTGTGTGGTGGAAGAATACGATGCAATAATAAGTATTGAATTTAGGGTGGGGTTTAGTCTCTTTTGATGTTTAAGTAAGCTTAATTTCGAGTTTAGTACAGTTTTGAGTATCTTTTTATCATCCTGGCATCGAGTTATTTTTCTGCAGGTCTTCCCCTACAGTATCGTCGATCACCACTAAGAAACATAATTATCCAAAAAACACAATATGTGTTCGGGCCACACCTTCAACAATATAGATTGTCGGATAAAAAGTAACACATTAGTCACAATTACTTCGTGATGACTTGTGAATATATGACCATAATCAATTGAGTAAGGTGACATCAATCACAATTCACTCAGCATCTAACTTGCTAATGGAACTAACTTAAAGATGTATAGCGCCCCACCATTGGCTATACACTTTTTTGGATGTTAGATTAGGATTTGACATATGGTAGGTCGATGTAGAGCATGATAAGACATGTTATTTGGTGGATCTTTTTTACATCTATCATTTAATTATCTTTGATGTAGTAGCACAAATGGATATATAAATGAGGTCTGATGTTGCCTTTTATTGATACTTATACTTGATTGGAGCTAATTAATTAGGTATTTATGGCCACTTAAAAGGTGTGTTTGATCCTAGAATTATATTAGTGATTTTGAAAAAAGATGTTTAATGATAATTGATTTTTCAAAACCACCCACGAGTGATACCTTAAAAGTTAATTTAAAGTATCAATTTCTTTATTTTCCAAACATGATCGATAGAGAGGAAAGTGATTTTTTGGCAACGGAAAAAGTGATGTCGCCAAAATCACTCCCAATCGCACCTAAATAGTTGAGGGGTTGGAGGTAGATAGATAAAGTATCTGGATCAGTAGTCCTAAACCTGATGCAAATCAATTAAATAAATGAAAAGAAGGGAATTATTTTTATACTTATTTAAAAATATTGAAATATGAAGTTAATTAAGATGCAAAGCTTGAGATCCATGGACATGCATGTTATCATATATTAAAAGTGAAAGGGAAGGGAATTGACAAAACCTTACACCTTGCTCCACATAATCCAACCAACTTTAATTCCATTGTTTTTTTGTGTAACAATCTGTCACGGGACATTTTTCGGATGATGGTTGTTTTTCTTCTTTTTCATTTTTAATTTATTTTCAAAAATACTATTGACATAGTTAAATTTGAAAAGATATAATTTTTGTAAATATATTTTTAAGTAGTTACTATCACGAAATTTGAAATGTATTCATTAAAAAAAAATATTGATGTGACATTAAAATACATTATTTTGTTAGTTAAATTGAAAATATTTGTAAAAAAATTAAAATACCTTACATGTTTAATTTAATAAATTTGAAAATCTTCTATGACTCATGCTGAATAACAATATTATTTGGATTTGATCATTAATAGCCTTAATAAAGAAAAAACTCCACCCATACAACGTTATTGTTTCAATTTTTAAGAATAATAAATAATGAAATTGATTATTTTTTTTTAGAAAGAATAATGAAATTGATTATTTTAAAAGGTTGGAGGAAAAAATGACATAAAAGTCAAAAGCTAAATGGTAATTTAGCCAAATATTTATAAAAGAAATTAATTAAAAGAGCCCATCATCTCACAACTAATATATACCTATTCAATATAACTGCTAATCCAACCTATTTTTCATACATACAAAAACAATTCACTAACCTTTTTACCACACTTCTCAATTCTTCTTTCTTATTTCCAATTTTTAAATAACATTCCTAACTAATTTTCCTATTTCTGGTTTCTCACATTTTAAAATTGTATAAAAATTTATTGTTTCTATTTTCATTTATTTTTATAACATAAATAAAAGTACTCTTTTATTCTTCTTTGATCTAAAAAGTGAATAATAAATAAATAAAATGTTAAAGTTGGTATATATACTTAAAAAAACAACTTTCATATAATATTTTTACGTTTTCTTTTAATTAGAACAAGAAACAAGAAATAATTTACATTATGTTTCTCCTTTTAATGTTAAAGGATAGAACAATAAAAAATAATTAAATGTAATTGTATTTTTCTTTATTTAATCATTTTTAGTAAGGATCAGATTCAAACTTATCACAGATATACTTTAATCAATTAAGTTTAACTCAATTGAATTTTTTTTTATATAACAAAAAATTAAAAATTAAAAAACCTTAATGTTACTTCACTAGGTCCATACTTTTTAGCAGAAGGTAACACTAAGAAACAATTTCACGGGGAGGAATGCAAAAACAAAATTTTTTTAAAAAGATTAATCTGAAGACAAGTTAAAAGGAGCCAAATATTTTCTTTTTTTACCCCTCAACTAATTTCTCTTGAAATGGATTGTGCACCTTTGTCATCTCATCAAACAGTGACCAAGTAACCATATACATTGATATAATAATATATATATATATATATATATCCATTTCTCTAAAGCTTGACAATTCCCCATCATTAGCTTATAACTACCAACAATGTCACACAAATCAGAGGTAGCAGAGAGAAGATCAGAGAAGAGAGAGAAAACCCCATCTTCTCCCTAAACCCAAACCGATCTCTTATTATTTCCCAAACTCCAAAAATGAGGATGAGGAGCTCTGTTCCTCTCACTCTTCTCCTAATTCTCTCATCTCTCCCACTCCCCTCCCTCTCCGCCGTCGACACCTTCGTCTTCGGCGGCTGCACCCAGCTCCGGTACCTCCCCAACTCCCCCTACGAGTCAAACCTCAACTCGCTACTCACCTCCCTGGTCAACTCAGCCACCTACTCGTCCTACAACAACTTCACCATCCAGGCCTCCTCCCCACAGGACGCCCTGTACGGCCTCTACCAGTGCCGCGGCGACCTCTCCATGCCCGACTGCGCCACCTGCATCGCACGCGCCGTCACCCAGCTCGGCGGCCTCTGCTCCTCCACGTGCGGCGGCGCCCTCCAGCTCGACGGCTGCTACGTCAAGTACGACAACTCCACGTTCCTGGGCGTCGAGGACAAGACGGTGGTGCTCAAGAAGTGCGGGCCCTCCGTCGGGTACGAGGAGGAGGCCATGGCGCGCCGGGACGCGGTGCTCGCCGCGCTGGCGGGGTCCAGTGGGGCCTACCGCGTGGGTGGGGCCGGGAAGGTGCAGGGCGTGGCGCAGTGCGTGGGGGATCTGAGCGCGCCCGAGTGCGGGGACTGCGTCGGCGAGGCCATCGGACGGCTCAAAAGCGACTGCGGGACTGCGGATTATGGGGACATGTTTTTGGGGAAGTGCTACGCGAGATACTCCACTCATGGGCCTCCGTTTTTTTCCAAGGCCCATCATGGTAAGCCCTCGTTTCTCGCTCCAATTTCCAGCTTCCTCCTGATGGTAATGCATTTTTTTTCCTTCTTTTTTATTATTTTTGTTTGGGATTTTTAATTTTGGGGATTAAAAAAAAAACGGTTTGAATTTGAACAGATAAATCCGGCGGTGGCGGTGATGGGGAGAAGACATTTGCGATTATCATTGGCCTTCTAGCGGGAGTTGCTCTCGTCATTATTTTTCTCGTCTTCATAAGAAAGGTGTTCCAAGGATCTGGTAATTACAAATCATTCCATTTTTCAAACCCAAATGAAGTATTTGTTTAATTACAATTTTTAAACACTACTTTTCACTTAAATCTTACTCAAGTTCATCATGTTTTGAAAGTGATTCATAAGTTTTTTCATTTTTTTATTTTTTTGGAAAAAGTCAAATGCATTTTCAAAATAACTTGTTTAGTATTTTTGGCCAAAGTGTTAGCTGTATTAATATTCACGGGGTTCTTTTTCAAAATCAATTGACAATGTGAAATACTTAACATGCACTATTAAGATGAACAATGCCTTTTTTTTCATCAATCTTGACTAGATCTCATTTTTTGACTGGACGCTCATTTGAGATTTTTGGGCTTTGATACCATATTAATATTCATGGATTCTATCATCAAATCAATTGGTAATGAGATGAGTAAACCGTATCTCCTATAAATCTTTGTAAGGTTCATTTTCAACGTGTGATTTAACATGGATCGTGGCCCTTTTTGGCTTATCGATCTTGGTCAAATCTCTTTTTTTAGACGAGATATGTGCTCTTGAAAAATACTTAAAAAGGGCTTTTACTAAAGTGCTTTATAATCAAAATAATTTTCATACAACTATTTGTTTTGAACATAAAATGACACCACTAAGTTTTTTTTTACCGTTGTTTGTAGTTTTGATTAAAGAAGAAAAAAAAAGTATCTTCTCTTTCATTCTTTTACTTACTTTTGTGGTATTGGTCTGTGCATTGTGATGCAGGTAAATAATAATTAAACAGCAAATGGAAAAGCTTTATTAAAAGGAGTTGGATTATCTTTTGGGTTCCACTTTTCCTCTACATTTTTATTTTCTCTCCTTTATTGGTTTTGGATTTGGTGTTTCCAAGAGAACTTTGTGTAATATGTTTATTATTACTTTACTTGGCTCAAAAGAAAACCCACATAGAGAAGAAACAACACAAAAAAAGCTGTATCCCCATTCCCTCTCTACTGTGGAAACTGTGGCACATTCTTTGTAAAACATCATATGCAGAAAATTTTTCATTTTTTTAATCATAATATTATTCTACTTACTTTTGGAGTTCATCTTTTTGTTTATTTTCTTTTACCTCAAGAAGAAATTAATAATTCGATATTATAGAATTAGAAGGGAAAAAAAAAACAACAAAACATGATGAAAAGTTGTGCAAGTTGAAGTTTATTTCTTCTTTTTTCACTTAAATTAGAATTCTTATCAGTTTTACAAATGAGAAATCTTTGTAACTTTGAAAATTACAAAACAAGTTAGTCAATATGAAATACAGCTCATCTAGACCAAAAATCTCGACCAAAAAAAGGTTGGGAGTTCAAATTCTTAATACCAAACAAGTTAGTCAATATGAAATACAGCATATTCTTCACTGTCACAGCCTGCAAATCAAACTAGATAAGGAAATACAAAGTCTAAATCAAAATAATTAAAAGTGAAAGATGGCTACACAATTGGTTGGGGTTGAGTTAATGCATATATTTGTTTCCAAATACGAATGTTCCCGCTAGTTATTTAACAAAATTTTGAACCAATTATGATATTAAATCCTAGATAGGTGGCTACCATGGATTTGAACTCATTCCTTCTAAGTCATTTGATATTTGCATTGGACTTCATTGACCACTTGAGTTATCCCATAATGGTTGTTACACTATCTATAATTACGGTCGTTTTTAGATGGGATAGATTTAAATATGAACCACTATGGTAGCATTATAAAGTTTCTTTATTAATTCTATCGAGCCTCTGGCCTTAGGTCAAATAGTAAAAAAGAAAAGAAAATAAAGCAAGGAAGGAAGGCAAAGCAAATTAAAGGCATGCAATTCTTAGAAAATGGCCATTCAACTTCAGTTCTTTATCCCATAAATGGTTGCATGGGCATGTCTTTTTCTCTATAGTGAGACACACTCTCTAAAAGAGCAATTCCTCAAAGATGAAAATTTCATTGAGTTGTTTCCATTCAATAATTGACCTGCCAATGGGTTGTTGTTGTGACCTTATTGGTTAAGCAACACACACCAAACAAAAAGCTTTTGAAGTTGAGAAGAGAATTTTTTTTTCTCAACTTTTATGGGTGTGGTTTGCTTTTTGGAAAATTTTAAAGAATTTATGATTGGAGAATGTGGGTATAGTTTTGAAAAAATCTTTGGTATTCAAGCCGAGGAGAAAATGATGTGTGCCCTACCCATTAAAATAAAATATGACTTATTATTCAGCTTTGAAATAGACGATATAATATCGTATCATTACGGGTATATGAAGGAGTTGATTCTCCTTACATTTATGTTTGAAAATATAGAGTGATAAGAAAATAAACAATAATAATCCTATTTCTTTTTATGAATGGTTAAAAAAAATTGTTAGGTTATTATCAAAATGAAAGGAAAAATTGTATGTATATAGCTTTCATTTACAAAATATTTGTAAATATGTAACTATGTTAATAAAAGAGAATTATAAAGGTTGATTAATGTTTTTTTTTAAATGACGGGAAAATCATTGCTTACTCCTAAATTTAGAAAGTTGTATAATTTTAACAAAAATAAAGTAATGTATAAAAACTTCAAAAAGAGTGGCTAATTTAATGAAAATCAAGTTTTATACAAAATTAAATTTGGTTAATACACAAAATCGACCATTAAATAATTCCATCAAAACTTACAAATTTCAATAAAAGAAATCTATTATAAGTGCATATTAGAACATTTGGATGAGAAATATGAATTGGAACTTAATCAACATAAAATTGATTATTGAAACCAAAAACAAGATGCGATTTGATCCCAAAGAACAAAAGAGTGGCTTTTAAAGAGGTCAATAATGCTTGAAAAGAGACAAATAAAAGATGTAAATTATTTCCTTTTGCTTTTTCCAATTGCTAATTAAAAGAAGGGTATCAAAAATTTGATGGAGTGGAACTCCCATGGAACTCTTTTTAACTTATATATATATAATATACAAGACATCATTATTGCCTTTACTTTTTTTCGCTTTTCCTTTTTGACATATGGCCTTTCAAAACTATATATAAACTGCTTGAGTTGTTTCGATATAAATCAAAATAATCGATAAATAACTTAAGATGAAAGTTTGAATCCACATTTTACCCCTCGTCACATCGCGTTACAAAGAATACATTACAATCATCTTGATAAATGACATACTCTTATTTTCCCTAACTTTTTTATAAGCTTTGATTAGAATACAAGTGAGAGCACGAGAACTTTTTTATCATTTGAAATAGACGTGAAACCTTAGAAAGTTGCAGATAAAAACCCTTCCACCGAATGAAACCCTTAAACTATTAATACCTAAAACTTCAAAATCAAATTAGCACAATCCCAAAGAAAAAATTAGCACAATCCCAAAGAAAAAATTAGATGACCGATTAGTTTGTTGATCGAAGACCAAGAAGCCAATAAATTAGGAGAACTAGTTCCCTACTCAAGGTTCTGAAAAAAGCTTTTCCGACCTAAAATTTTCGTCAGGAATAGTTATGATAAGCTATTCAAATCTGATTTATATTATAATGTAAATAAACAAATTCTTAACTTATTCACCTACTATATTTTTCTAGAAGTCGAAGAAAAGAGCTTCATCAAAAAGATTGGAAGTTGTAGTAGTTTTTTTTATTACTTGGTCATCTTATATGTTATTTAGTTGTTTATTGAGTTATATCCTTACCATAATTTTAAGTTTAACCTCGTAGAGAAATTAGAAAATATATCCTCACTCAAAAACAATATATTTTTAAAACAATTTGGCTGCCCGGATTCGAACCGGAGACCTTAGAGAAATTAGAAAATATATCCTCACTCAAAAACCATATATTTTATAAACAATTTGGCGTCGCCCGGATTCGAACCGGAGACCTTCAGTGTGTTAGACTGACGTGATAACCAACTACACCACGACACCAGATGTTGAAATCGTGTAATAAATTTAATAAAACAAAACTTATGTTTAGGAATTTTGACAAACGGCCCAAATAATCTAATTGGGCCCGATTACACCATAAAAAAACAGCCCACAAACATGAACAATCTATTTCTATATATATATATTTTGAAATATATTACTACCTTTTTTCATACATAATATAATATTTTGCAAATTTCACAACATGGTTTTATTGTTAGAAATATTATCTTTTCTTCTATCTATTTTATTAAACTCCCTCTCTGAACTTTTAATGAAGTTAGTTCTCCACATGAGAGTTTAGTTATGTACTCGAAATAATAATAATAACAGTACTAAAAAAGAGTTTAGTTTTTTTTTTTTCCCTTCTTGACTTCTGGATAGAAGAGGACTCAAATCTATTGGATGCCAACACTAAATCTCTTGCGCCAACATCCGCCAACATCTGAGAGTATTCATCTGAGAGTGAAAAAATAAGAGTCTAGTTATTCCTAAGAAAAGAATCCAAAAAAGAAGTGCAACCTAACGAAACTCTCAAAAGTATTTCATCCGTTTTCTATATTTACCTACTTCAAAACACGCTTAGCAAGGCTTAAGCAATCAATTGAGAAGAAAACTTTTAACTTGATATTTGACCAGTCACGACTCTCATACTAAGCGAACCTAAAGTTTTAAATTTCAATTTTATATGTCAAAATATTGATAATGAGACTTTTTAGACAGACAAGCAAGCAATTAATATGATATTTTGATATATTTTGATGAGGTGATTACATTAATTCTTATACAGTACGTTACATATACTAATTCGTAATAATTTACTATTTAGCAACTTAATTCATTATTTATCAATCAACGTAAGCATAACTCAATAGATTAACACATATATCTCCGACTAAACGATCGTGAGTTCGAATCAGCATCGCTTACAATTTTCACCGAAAACATTCTTTTAACATTACTAATAATAAGAACATAACTGTACATGCAACGAGTTTGGGCATACACAAATACACTCTTCTAAACATATGAAATCCCAGAGTCTACATTAACAATGTCTAATTTCATTTCATAAAAATCAATGAACAAATGGGTTTTCCTTTTGGTAATTTTGAAAAGGAAAGAACACCATATGTAAATAAAGAACAAATTAGTTTTTAGGATCAAGTTTCCAATTTGCCATTATCTCAAAAGTATGGGCTCTTCAACAATGGTTTCCAATAACGGCTTCCTGGACCTGCACATAGACCTCCGATGCTTCATCTCCGGCGAAGAAAATTCCTCCACATCATCCAATTTCAACTTCCCTTCCGATTCCGATTCCTCTGCCGAGACATTAACAGATCCTCCTCCTCCTCCGCCGCCGATGACGACGGCGACCGGGGGCTTCTTCCGGGCGGAGACCCGCTCGGCGGCGAGGAACATGGCCCCCATGTCGGCAACCGAGATCACCGAATTGAGCTTCTTCATCGGAAACATGAGGTACAAATTAGCCATCTCGAGGTCCTCATCCGCCGCCAGAGCAGAGAATCTCCGGCCAACGCGCAGCGACTGGGAATTCACGACGAAGAAATTGGGCATCTCCAGCATCAGCTCCGCCGCCTTGAGCGGCTCGTGAAATTGGCGAATTTCGCCGCTCGGAAAAAGCACCGCCGTCGTCGCCGAGCTCGAGCTTTTCCCTCCAATTGGAGTCGAAAGTGTACAAGAGATGTAATTCCCCATGATTAATTAACTATTGTTGAAGAAGAAGAAGAAGATTTAATTAATTTGTGAACGATTCGAAATTTTATATATAGAGATTAGAGAGAGGTGGAATTATGAGATCATGTGATTTCATTGGAAAAGTGTTGAACTCGGAAATGAGGAATCGGTTGAATTTCAAACCAAAGTGAAGCCCAGTTGTTGTTGTTGACAATTATTATTGCTCATTCCGCGTGGAGCCACACGAAATAAATTAAATAAACAGAAATACCATCTTTATGAAAACCAATAATATATATATATATATATATATATATATATATATATATATATTTGTTGGGTTTATTAAATTTTAGTTTATGGAAATGATTTTGGGTGCAACTTGAAATTAAGAGCGTTTTAATTTGTCAAATTACATTTCAGCATGCGAAGCTTTTGGTGCTATCCATAAACTGAGGTCAACCCATTGCAAATATTATCCAAGAGATGGGTAAAGATTTTTGTTTGTAGAAGTCTTTTTTTTTTTTTCCTTAATTACTTTCACTCCTAACTATCAAACATTTACCCATATTTTAGCAGCGGTTAGTTTTTCAGGAAATTGCACAAATCGTGGTGGTTGAAAGTTAAACTCTCAATCTTGTTGAAATTGAGCAATATTATTGTTGAATCAGTTAAAAAAAATAGTCGTTTAGGCAAACTTCTTGAAAAAATTCATGATTTTGATAAGAAGAAAAAAATGAAAAAGGAAGGCGGCGGTGACATCCGAGCTTTGCGTGACTGTAAAATGAAGGCAGCGGCGGGTGTCACTGTCGGTTATTTGTATAATAGGCGTGCCGCGTCGCGAGGCTGTACAGCGACTCGGTTATTGCGTTGCGGCGGTGGCAACGGCCACGGGCATGCCTATATTCCACCAACAAAATTTTCTAATACTCTTCAATCCAAAAATTCGATCAAAGCAATAGATCTCCAAACAACACCCAAAATTAGAATTCAATGTGCACAAATTTTCAAAATCAAAGTTTGTGTATCTCCCTCGTTCAATTTCAAGGTATTTACATGAAGTATCGATAAATGTTCTTGTCATGAATTTAAATTCACGGTTATTCTCCAAATTGAAGGCGTAAAGTACCTATTAAGGATAAAATACAACTGTACGTACATATTTTAACGTTTAGATTAAGTTCAACTGCATTAATGACTTCGTTCAGTAATTTTTCGAGCAACTTATCCAAATTTGCTTATGAACTTTATCCTTTGGGGGTCGATGCACGTGCACATGACTTTCTGTGGAGTTGATGATTACATGTCTCTCGACTAAAATCATGTCTTCATCAACTCTCAACTAAGATTTTAAATGTTAATATCGTTAAGGTCTCAATTTTATAAAAATATCAATAGAAATATTGATAAAATTTATAACAAATATTTAAATTAACAAATTATCCTCCGTTGTTATAGAATAAATTTAAAGAAAAATCATCTTTCGCACCGTTCCTAAGTGATTTATTATTTTATTACATAGATTTTACATATTTTTAAATATTGTTGATCGGACAAAAAATAAATGGTATAACAAAATTTTTCCACCTATGTAGGACTAGATATTTTTTTCATCTCGCTTTCATAAGCTCATTTTGGCACTGCTTATTGCATCATCTTTATTAAAAATATTGAGAAAAATGCAGAAACATATATATATATATATTAATTAAGAGCTTTCAATTTTTTTTTAGTATTTTTATTAATCATTTGTGTTTACATTATTCAAATCTTTTGCATGTCATGTCATGTGAGTCATAACCCCACGTTATTGGAATAATTATCATTTATTCTTAATAATGCTTTCTCGGCTTTCTACGTTTCATCGATTTGGTCTATTGTGGAATATGATGGGTAGTTTAGTCATTTGCTTTCGTATTTTGCTGCCCTATTCTCGAGCCGATGCCATTTTTTACTTTCCAAAGGTCTCCGTTAAGAGGGATTTTTCAGGATAGCAATCTATTGTTTATTATTATTATATTTTTAATAACGAATGAGACAGGTTAAATCAACCTCAAAATTATTTGAACTAGAGTTTTAGGTCAGTAAGAGACGAGAGATGACTCCATCTTTTTCGAGTACAGCATGTGAAGGTGGGGGGATCGAAGTCACAACCTCGTGGTTGGAGATAAATATTAATTATTGTTGAATTATGCTAGTTTTGAATTGCCAAATATGATCAATAGAAAGGGAAATGATTTTGACAATGTCAAAATTGAAGTTTAATTGCGTTCATCGATAGTTAGTGAGTTTTTCTTTTTGTTTTTTTTAAACTGATATTTAGTGAGCTAGTAACTTATTTGGATATAAATACTTTAAGTAATCATTTTTATTTGAAATGAATATAAGTTTTAATATGCACATAATTTCATTCCTTGTTTTCTTCGTTTTTCTTTCTCGTTAAAGAGGAGGAAGATGATGCTTTGAGAAGTATTACGTGAGTTTGAAAGGTTACCAATATTTTCAGAACAAACAAACTTATACAAATTTATTTGTGTTATCTCTAGCGGTCTAATTTATATATATCATAGAAATTCATGTATAATTAAATCAATGGAAATTGTATAATCATATGATAAACTACCAACTACTTTATAAAATAATGGGAGCTTTATAATAATTTAAGGAAGCAAGATGAGCAAAGGAAAACATAACTAAAATATCATACTATTAAGATGCATATAGTGAAAAAAGATGCATGTGAAGAGATAATCTCGTCTTAAAATAGACTAGGTCGTCCCTGTGACATTAACGGATATATGAAGATTGATTTTTATATCAAGATTGAAAGTTAAAATATAGTATTTGAAGGTTTCGAAACTAAGTATAAAAATGTAAAGAATAAACTTATTAATTATCAAAAATAGAAAGGGACAACATTTCAAGGAGTTAAAATCATAATTGAATTGTTATATATGCTTTAACATCATATTATGTGCTTCTTTCTTATAATCCACTTGGGAAATTTTCATAACAAACTAAAGAATTGCAAATATTTTATTTGATTAATTTAAATGCACTTAAATAGATTAAAATTTAAAAGAGGCGAACAAAATAAAAAAGAAGAAAAAAAAACCCATTTTTCATTTCCAAGACATTCTCAAATCTTGATCCGAGAACTTTTGAACAGCATTAAAGGACACTTTCGGTATTTAAAAAAATATTAAATTGAAACATTAAATGAACATAATGGTCAGAAGAAAATATATAATTATTGGGAAAAGGAAATTGGGAGTACAACTGTCTTTTCTGTAGTTAACGTACTTAATTAAAATATTTCTATAAATACAGATGCTGCGAAATTAAAGCCCCCCTCTTTTCTTTTCTTTTTTCCCCTTTTTTTATTAGAGAATTTAAAGGCTGTTGATTAGGAGGACTTGATTTTTGATATATTCAAATTATTTTAGGGCGGAAATATCCACAAAATAAAAAATGTCTTTGAAATTCAACATATTACCATTACAACACATGGCTACTTATTCTATTCTATTTCATTTCTATGTTTTGCGGATAGAATTTGTCTACAGTTTTTAGACTTCATTTATGAAAATCTACATATGACTGCGATTAAGTCTAACAATAAAAATGGACATAATAAACATTTTTTTTTTCCCTTTTCGAGTACAGCAACCGATCATAGGAAGATTCAAACTGATCAGATAGTTCAGTGAGAACATTATAACCATGGAAAAAGAATCCACCAAACTTGATAATAAATTAATGGTTGAAATGAACAATAAAGGAAACTAAACAAAGGGAAAAAGTACCAGTAAAAAAGGTAAAACCAAGAGAGGCAGTAATTAGTAATAAAAAGTGAAGAAACTGAGAGAATTGTTTGTGATTTTTGAGTTTGTAATCATAGGAGGAAGTATAGTTCCATCCATTTTTGGCTCTGCAACTCAAACATCTCTCAAGTTTCTCCCTCATCTTCACATCTTCCATTCTCTTTCTTAAAACTCCCAAGTTTCCATCTACCATCCTACTCAACCTCTCTGCAAAAACTCAAGTTTAGAATTTATGACAATTTAATTCTTAACGTAAAAAATTCAATACTCTTTACTACATCGTCAACTAAATCGTTACAAATTTTATACAGAAAGTCACCTTCATCTCTGAAGTTACTCTGAGCTCGTATTTGCAAACGACGACGAGAAACAGGCAAAACCAAAACGCATGGTTTTGATATTGATGCATACAGAGAACAAGCCATGTTTCTGGGTGGCTTCTTATATCTTTCTGAATTTTTCACACAATTTTGCAAACTTTCTCTCTCTTTTGGGCTTATTTCCAAGGAGAAAACAATGTTGTTTTTTGATCTCTTGGGGCGTTATAAAGAGGGGTGGATTAACAAGACAAGAATATATTTGTTCGGTGGTCAAACCGTTTGGAATTACACAACTATTTTATATTTCAAGGAAAGGCCAAATTCTCAGAATTAATTTTTTTAAAAAAAATGTTACTTTTTTTTTTTTTTTAATTTTGCATACTCAATTGGTTAACGCGTAACTTTATAAATAAACCATTTTGATTTTGGAGTTAGTATGTGGATTATAAGCTAACATCCAAATGAAAATCCATGCTTTAACGGTTGGACTTTTTATAGTTTATTATTACTATTTTATATAATTACCCCAAAAATAAAATTTAAAAAATTAATTGTTTTAACGTACGGCTGGTCTTATTCATGCATCTTGATCTACGGAAAGTGTGTGTGTATTGTTTTTGACCCTTAGCTTGTTCTCTAGTACATTCAATTTTAAACATTTCAAAATTAACGGATTCAATACTTTAAGTTAAAAATTTTAATTAATTGTTAATTACTTCTACTCGTTCAAACTTCAAACCAAAGCAACATTCAACCAACTTTAATTGACTTAGAAGTTACTGCTATTGAAAAGTATTTCTAAGAGATAGAAAAACCAAATAAATATTTAATTAACAAGCTTAAATTTTATAAATAAATAACAAAACACAAAAATCAAATGGGTCTCTGAAACAATCAACTTCAGCTTATTAAAATATAAAATAAAGGAAAATAGTGCTTTGAAAGAAGCACTTCCATGCACGTAGGAAAAATACTATAATTATTTTTAAACATAGAACGAGGCATAAAAAATGGCATGTTATATTAGAAATCTAAATAAAAATATATTAAGTGGATATAAGTGGGTTAAATGATTAGCTTAGTTTTAATTTGGTCCTAGTTAAATATCACAATTCAAAAATCATCATCTCAACCCTGAACATACATTTTACCGATTTCAAAATTTACAATAATCTTCCTCCAAATTTTCACGTAGATGTAAATCATAATTCAATCAACAAACACAACCCATCAAATTAAAAAATACCCATTCATTATCATATGGATGGATAGAAAGGTGTCCCCAATCCAATAGAGAGATGATTTATATAACCAGGAATATAAAGATCAAATAACAATTAAGTTGAAGCCACAAGCATCAAACTAGTAATTTAGCCACAGGAATATTAGTAATAACTTAGAAAAGAACCACGAAATCTATATTTATTAATTAATTAAAATAAACTTTATGCTAAGTTAGAAAAGGACAATGGATTGTGTGGTCGAAATAGTTTGAAATTCTCAAAAGTATACTATTTTGTGTTATAAATTCGTGTAAAGTATAATATATATAGTTAGTTGGGCAGGCACAGGCACGAGATGATGATGATGCGGAGACGCGTATTTCATGGGAACAATTCAAGGGTATGTTTTTGGATGGGTATTACCCCGAGGCTGTCAGGGTTGAGAAAGAGAAGGAGTTCCTGAACTTAAAACAAGGCAACATGAGCGTGTATGAGTATGAGAGAAGCTTTGCTTGTTTTGCTCCATATCTGGTGAACACTCAGTCAAGGATGGCACGTCGTTTTGTTTCGGGAGCCGATCACGGGACAAGTCGCTCTCCAAAGTCCCAAAGACTACTCTTCAGCTATTTGGACACAAAATAGTAAACCCTAAAATCATGCCGAGTGAGTCTCTGTTAGGATGAAAAAGGTTCACTGGAATCTCTGTACAGGGAGCCATTGACTGATAACAAACAAACAGCCTTAAGCATACAAACCAGATGAATAATCACACAACAAAAGAATTATGGAAAGTATTTCATAAGCAAAAATAATACCTACGGACATGAATGGTGATGGCAGACTAGAGAGCTTGCCTATAAAAAATCTAGCCTACAAAATCTGTACTCTATTTCCCTTAACTATCCAAAGTATACTTCCTTAGTTACGTCAGTACTAACAAAGATCTTTTGCAACCTTTTCATTAATCAGATTGGTTACTCTGCTTGGTCCAACAAAAGCATCATCAATTTAATCGTTTTTTATATTCGTGAGCGTCCGGATCAGTTTATCCTCAACTAATCTCATGGAACAACCGTTTAACTCTATAAAATTTGGTGTCGGAAAATACATAAGAATTACTAATTCCTAAATCCCAAGACAGGTGAACATCATGGAAATTGAACTTGTTCCCTAGCAATTACTCATAGCCTCTTTAGACCAATGACGATGGTTACCATCAATTTAATTGTAAAATTGGTTCCTTTGCTTGTTCCACTATAATAGGGGTGATTCCTCAGTACTTTTTCTTGACATTCCAACATAAATAACTTCATGAAATTACTCAAATTGTCATAATACTTTAAACAGGAGCTTTCCCATTATGCAATCTAAGCTATAATTCAGCAAGAAGCCAAACCTGTTCTTGAGATGATGGCATGGATCTTTTTGCCTCCACAAAGACGTTAAGCTCTTCAACATTATCCCCCATTGTACAACTTCCTTGATTAACCAAGGATCAGCAACTGCAATGGATTACAAAGTTATTTGTACCAGTAGTTCAGAAGAATAGTATACCAAGAGAAATTGAAGGGAGCAAATTCCAAAGAGAAGGGCTAAACCAGGAACTGAAACTTAAATGAAGCATAAACAAAGGTCTACATAATGCTTTACTAAGCATAACATTCAGTAAAGTCACAAAAGCTACATGAAGACTAGGCAGTGTGTGGCGTGCAAACTTCAGTGCAGTGAAATGCAGTTATAAAAGAATTTCAACTCATAAACCAAATCTCATTATCACAAGAACAAGAAAGTAAAGACCACAAAGTACAATGGTGTGATATTTTACCACACTAACCATAGAGGTCCTTCATATACTGCGAAGAGAGGGTGACTACTGACTAGAACCACTCTTGATTGGAAAAATAAGATTGTACCCAATAACAAATTCAATTTTAATCTGGTTTCACAGGCTCATAAAATTTTGAACTTTGATGATAAGAGAAGAATTCAAACGAAAACTTGGATTTGGAATATTTGCATGCCTCTAATCAAAATGAAATTAGTTATCACTCCTGACATGGCCAAAATCACTTTTAATCATGGATGATGTTCCTTTAAATTAATTTTTAAAGTGGAAAATCACTCCTCCTTAAATCTATTGTTTCAGTTACCATCACTTCCAAATACAAATACACCCTATATCAAAGTTGATCTGAGTTCCAACAAAGTGTTTTGCCTCAAAAATTATAGAAGTGTTTCTTAGTTCCCAATTTGTTTGATATACAAATGGAATGCCAATCCCTAAAAGTTAAAACAAAGAAGTAAAGCGCAAACAGTAAAAGGAAGGAAAACAGAGAGAGAATTCAGAAATATAAAGAACCAGTCCTCCAAAAATCCAAAACGCAGATATTTGTTGTTCCCCAATGCAGTTGAATTAAAAATAAGATGTTCATAAATTTATGCAATCGAGACTCTACATCGATGATCATAACTCTTAATTGCGCGAAATATTTGAATTATATCAAATTAAGCGAAACGGGTATCAATTGCAAGGAAATTAACGATGTTCTTATACGCAAATTATGATTTAAAACGAAGGAAACAGAATATTGAAGAGTAGCTGGAACTGGAAGTTGTTGATTTCGAAATATAGATATATATAATAAAATCCATGAAGAAAGTGATGGTAAATAGTAATAAACCTGCGCGTTGAAGTAGACGGTGAAATCAAATAATTGAAGCCGAGAATTAGAAACGCTTTGAGCTTTTCTCGTTTTCTATGGTGATTTCATTTTTTTCTTATTCTGTTTGATGAAAATGTAGAATTACATTCAGAAATTAAAAATTTTGATAAATATATTATTTATTCTATACCCTCATTTTATTTGTGTTAAAATTAAAATATAATATATTATAAATCATATAATATTGTAAAATAATTGTTCTATAAAATTTACAAAATATATGTTATTAAATAAATTAATATTGCTTTAGATGGAACTAGATGGTAACACATTGCTAATTTAAAAATATATTATTAAATACACGTGGCATAATTTTATAAATTAAAATTCATTTTTTAAATATGCTACTAAAACCATATTTGAAAAGTATACCTCTATATTTTTAATTGAATCCCTCACCGAGAAATCTTGATTAAATTATTAACTTAATCTCTCGTTATAAGTTTAGTAATTTAAATCCAACTTTTTGATCAAGAATATAGCCAATAATAAGATTTTTTTTTTAATAAATAGTCAATATATAAGTTGGGCTATTATATTAATTAATAATCATTTGATAAAATAAGTAATATATTGATTATCATTATTAGAGTAAATCGATAACTAATAATTTTTTTTAAAATCTATGTTTTAGAAAAGATACTATTTCTTAATTTGAGAATATATTATATAATAAATATATTAAAATATAAAGTTACACATTCAAATGTCAAAGTTTATTTCTAAAATACATATAAGGTAAATTTATTTTCTATAATAAATCAAATTTGCTTTTTCTATCCAATTTACTTGCTCAACGAATTAAAACACTTATTCCTACTAAAAATCATGAATTTGAATCTTATCCCCACTAAAAAGAGTTCTGTTTGTTCCACACATGTTCTCTTAAACTATTTTCTCAAACGAAGATGCAGATGAACAAAAAATCAAAAGAACTTAAATAAATATACAAAGGAGTTCTCATTATTGGGCCATGGAAAAGTTTTCCATCTAAAAGAGTTCATAAATAAACCAAGGAAATGGAGGACTTATATATACAAACTATACAGCATAAATGAGCTTTTAAGATGACCTTGTTTTCCATGATATATACAATATTAACACTGATGCACAAATTTATATACAAATTCATACAAACAACACAATATATCCGTTTTGACTCACCCCTGCCTTTCATCTATGCATACCGGGGACGAACCGTCTCTCCATATGCATATATCCAACTTGATCTGGCCACGAGAGTCGAATAAATCACTTGGAATCAAAAGGAACCTCGTTGAGTGGCAGCAATCGGATGACGACTTAATGTTCTTCATGGAAGAATGTAAAAAGAGGGAGAGATCCTGAGTTTCTGCCTTTAGATCATAAGTAAATGCTTCCTTCAAAAAATTAGGCCTAAGGCAACAAACTTTAACAGCACTTCCCAGATGTTCAAAACTATTGCTGAGAATAAAAAGAATACCATCATCCTGTTCTTGAAGAATGTGGTAACTGTCATCAGTTTTTAAGCAAATGGTGAAGCTGGAACTGAACTGGAAGTTGGTAGCAGAGTTTTTGTGTTTACTGCTGAAATGTAGTGATAACTGCTTAGATGAGGCCGTAAAGTTGCAATCAGAAAGGGGGCATAAACAAGGGGCATATAGGCATGTCTTCTCATGCTCACTTTCATTACCATAACTAACCATCTCCTTGCATCCATACTGTGATTGTTTGCACGGTAATTTAATCGATTCAAGAACCTTCTCAACGGCTCGACAACGATTATAGCCAATAGGCCAAGAGCAGGATGCACATTTATTCTTAAGTTTGTTGCAGCAGGAAGAACATGCAATATGCCCATTCTCACACTGAATTCCATGAAATCAATAAAAATACTGTTATGTCGGGACAATGTTGATATGTGATATGACTGAACAAAACAGACAATTGTTAGATAATGATGTCTACAATTCACATAATCAGTCCATGTGATTTTATGCTTCTCAGTAGATATTCGATCTACTCGAACAGTCATAGCTTCATTGTCGATATAAATGAAATATGTCATATTTACTTTTCATGCACACTAGCATATTACTGGCGTTTAAGAGCAAAATTAAATTCAGACATGATGAAGTGATGAACTATACATCCAAATAAAGAAAAAATAAAATTGAAGAGAAAAACTACAAACTCGCCATTGGATTTCTAAAGAAAAAAAAAAACTTTGGGTAGAAAGATCGTGCTACATTAAAAACATTTTACTAAGAATCTAACTTCATTGAAGAGGGGGAAATTTGACTAAGAGGTCAAACATGCCCCCTCCCTTTAATTAAAAATCTATCTTCATGGAAGAGGGCGAAATTTGACTAAGAAGCTCTGTTTCCCTTATTGCAACTCAAAAACTTAATGAGAACTCCAAGTGTCCACAAGAAAAAAGGCAGTCATCTTTACCAAGATCAAATGTTCTGGGATTGGCATTCTGATTTCTATTCCTTTTTTTTTATTTGATATACGTGAGTGTCTGGACCAGCTTACGCGCACTTCGACTAATCTCACGGGACAAGTGCCTGATCCTACAATATTTGGTGCCGGAAAACACATAGGAATTACTAATTCCTAAGGTAGGTGGCCATCATGGGATTTGAGATTTCTATTACATTATAAGGAAGTAAAATGAGATAGCTGATCAAGATATTCAACATACTAAAGAAGTTATAGGTGGTCTCAGTACACATTGAAGCTGAGGAGATCCTTATTCATACTGAATACAAATACTTTCATACATCAATTGGCACGAGGAAGGATCCTATTTAGTATGATTTAGAGCCAAAGGAAAGACCCATGAACAGCAAAGCTTCCAATTTGTTTCCAAACCGAGCCACACTACTGAATTTTTACAGGCATTCTAATCTATGCAACCTCATCCAAATAACTTCTACGGACATTTTGCACTCTACTAGAATAGCCAAAAGTCTTGAGGAATGGCCGACCACGACTTGCACCACAAATCTCCCTTCTCTCGGATGTTCAATCTCAATACTGGCCAGAATAAACCCACAAAAATTACCCCTAATCTCTAAACATGCTTCTAAATAATCGAGCATGCTAGTAGTTTTCGTAGCACACTGAACAAAACCCCACAATTTTCCTCAATTGCTCCAAATATAACCTCAATTTTTCCATGCTCTTGAATATACTAAATACCGAACTTAAGAGAGCAGCCCCCTCATATCTGCCCAACGAACTAAACCGAACCCAACACATACCCTATAAGTTAATTAATCAAAATTTTCAAATCCATCTGATCTTTTGAACACCCCTATACATATACAGGATCAACGAACTAAAAGGTCAACTGGGAATCGAAGTAAAGTGTAGGACAAAATTACAAACAGAAGTATGGAGAGATTGAGGAGAGCGGACCTGGAAGATGGGGACGGTCAAGGGTTCGCAGCAAATGGAGCAATCCAACACTTCTGGGTCAATCAAGAACATCGGAACAGAGCCGCCGCCGTTTGTCTTTAGGGTTTTGGAACAGGACGTAACCGACCACAGTGCCTTTTTAGTAGCGCCCTCTGGCACTTGTTGGTGTATTTCATGAATCCGATGTCGCTTCCTCTGGTCTAATTCCTCGGTCTCAGTTTGTTCCTTGTCGGAATCGAAGGCCTCGCGTGGTTCATTCTGGTGGGGATAATCAACTGTGGCGTTGATTCGAGAAGAGGGCCTCCTCCTCTTCCCCGTAGGACTACTTGGGCCGCCGTCTTCGCCGTCGTCTTCTCCACCAACCGAGAACTTCGCCATTTTCGATGCGATGCCCCTTCTCCCGCGAGGAACAGGAAGAAGATCGTTATCTGAAAGATGGCCACGCATCCTCTTCCATCGCATCAAGCGGGATGGGAAAACTGTACACAGACCACTTTTTATTTTCTTTTTTGTTTTAATTTGCTCCTTTAAACTTTAATTTTGATGTATTATAATTCTCAACTATGTCACCAAAAAAAAAAAAAATGTATTAAACTTTTGGTAACGAAAAATTAATGAGTTATTAAGGTATGACTCCATAACCAATCACTCGTTTAAAAGCCAAATAATTACAACTAGCGATTTCCAAATCCAAACAATAGTTAACTCGTAGATGGAGTAGTATATGAAGGTAGAAGAAGGCGATGGTGAAACTTTATATCAATAGATTTTTACTATTTTTTAATTTTGTTATTTTTGGTCCATGTTGGGTTTGAGGTATTATTTTCTTAGACACTTATTTTTTAAATTTATTATGTCACTTAATTTGGGGTAATATAGTTTTTTAACTTCCTTTCGAGATTAAGGATTTAATTTTGTGAACATATGGATGAATTTTAGTTTTTCTTAGAATGAATTCTATGGCAATTACCGTTGTTTGTAATTCTTGATCTTGGTCGCAAGTTGAAACATTCAAGTTGGATTTGATTGACCTTTTTTTTATGAAGAGTTCAACGCCTTGAGTAGGGAGCTAGTTCACTTTACCTAAGACCAACAAGATAATCCATAATCTAATCTCTTTCTTGAGATTGTGCCAAATTGGGGTTTTAGGTTTTGATAGTTGGGATTCTTTGATGGAAGGGTTTTTATCTGCAACTTCCTAAGGTCTCCTATCATATTTTTTATCAATATATTTGACATATGGTCATGCTATTTGAATTTGTCACGTGGAAAGAGTGGATTTCATTAATGAGTGAATCATATTGTTTTCTTAATTGGTGGGTTGGAATTCATGTGTTAAATAGCATCTCAAGTAGCATATAATAATTTTTTAACAATAAGACCTAATTGAAAATTTTTAATACATTAAAAGTAAAATTGAGAATTTTAAAGTATTAAGAATCAATTTGAGAATTAAATAAAAATTTAGGTGCGTTTGGTTGGTGATGTGAAAAGGGTAAATTTAAAAATAAATGATTCAATAAAAATCAAAGTTGTATTCATTATTTTAGGATATTTGTTTGGTGGTAGATTTAGAAATTTAATCTCAATTTAAAAAGTTGTCTGGAGTATTTAATAATTTATTTACTAACTAGTGGTAATTACCAAATAAATATTTAGTTTAACCTAAAATAATATTAATTAATTTATTAACCTATATGTTATAGATTTTGTAGAACTACAATATTATATAAGTTACAATATATTATATTTAATAAACTAAATTTTAACGCTGAGTTTATAATCTGAAATAATATATTTGTCACGTTTTTTTTTTTATTCTGCATTTTAGAAGTTTTAAATTTAACATCTGAAAATAGTGAAAATATAAAAAATATAGTTTTTATAATTTTTACTCAGTTTGAACCACATAAGTTAGTTTTAAAAACAAATATGTCAAAACAGATTATATTCACTTACTTCATTTGATTGAATGAATCTGAAAACAAGAAACATCATTTGGATAATTATATGGTCTATTTGGATAATTTTCTACGAAGAAATGTAACTGGTTTTTTTAATTTAAAAACTAATTAAGTAGCTGCAAAGTTTAAAGTACAAGAGATGAATAGGTAATTGAACATAAGATATACTTAGAAAAATATAATAGAACCTATTGTAATTACACGTGTGCAGGTGAAAGTTATTAAATACTCACAATGAGGAAAGTTCTCATTAATTTAGATAACAGGGAACAAAGATTGTGAAATATATATAATAAATAAAGGATAACTATTAAGTTATAACAACATATAGAATGTCAAAGTGTAACCATTAAGTTATAACAACATATAGATCGTGAAAATGAGCATAAYTTAATGGTAATTAACATATACTTTCAATTTAGTACAAAAAAATTATTATAATCTATACCAACTTATTTAAGATTGATACAACTAATCAACAATAATTAACAACTTTTACCTAATTTTGATTTCACAATTTGAATAATTTTGTAGGTACATCATTTTTCTTTCATGTATAATACTTCCTTAATTTTCATTTACCCGTTAAACTGAGCATAACTCAACTGATTAAAATACTTATTTCTGACCAAAAGATTGTGAGTTCAAATCCATATCGCACCAAATGTACTAAACAAATTCTCATTAATAATAATCATCTATATTATTACAAAGGGAATGATATAAATCTATACTATATTAAAATGGAAGGATATCGGAAAAACATTTTTGGACGTTTTTGTCCCTTCCTTAATTTATTAATTTGCAAATTATACCATCAATAATTTATTATAAATATTATATTAATTATTAATTATTAATTATCAATAATAATAATGTATATGATCTAACCAATGTTAGAATGCAAACGGTTAGAATACAAAAGGTTTTCTACACCATAAAATTAAAATTTTTTATTTAATTACAATTCATATTAGAATTTCAAAAATTTTGTAACGTTTTATCTCCTACTACTATAAAAGCATACTTTTTTTCACTATTTTTTCACAACACTTAATTCTCTCAAAACATTGCTCTCAAATGTTTTATTCAATCTCAAAATCATGTTGGTGACATACTCATCAAATTGCAGAGAATACCTATGTCGAATATATATCTTGAATCCAAGGTTTGCGACGTTATCATTCCATAATTTATGAGGTTAAATAATAGTGATTGTCAAGCACGAGCATATTTTAGATCAGTGTATAGCTAAAGTTTGATTTTTTTTTGTTACTATTTATTGTTTTTTATTGTTCTTTTATAATTAGTGTTTCATGTATTTAGAATGTTTTTTTAGAAAATAATAATAATGTATTGATCCATTACGAGCTCATGTTGATTTTGTTGAAAAAAAATCCGTGTAAGGACAAAAAGTATTTAATTAATTATAAATAGTAAATTAATAAATGAATTATCAACAATAATTTGTATGAAATCTGAAAAGTTTGAATAGATAACTTTTTTGTCTACTCATTTTCCAATAATATAATTTAAAGATCTTTTTTAATAATTTTAATTATAATATGAAGTTAGATTGAAAATATTCTGTGTATTTGCACGTGGTATTGAACTAGTTATTATAAAGGGAATGATATATATTCATCATCCAACACAGTGTCACAGAGAAAATAGCATTTTGATGTTTGAAAATTTTGAGTTTCATATCCAATTCGGTCTCTAAATTTTATTTTTTTTGGTCATAAGGCAGAAAGCAACTAATCCCTAAAAAATTGGGCCATTTTTCAAATTATATTATATAACTTTCAAACGGTATTAACTTCTAGAAAACATAAAACAAAAAACCATGGGCTTATGTATAAGAGAAATTATAAACATTTCATTATCTTTTGAAAAGTAATTAATGGCATGGCTACACAAAATAGTCTCTTTATATTACATATATGTAGTTTACTTCTCCACATTATAGAAAGTCAATGGCATAATGGTTAGTGAAAAAGGGAAAAGAAGTAAAAAAAGAAACTACTCAACTCCTTCCATACAATGAATAAGCCCACAGAGATTAATATGTATACACCAATATAAGAAGAAATTTCATTGGTTTAATAATGTTCTATAACCATATTTATAAGGAGTGGGAAAATTTTACATTATAAATTTTTATTTATACAACACTTTGGTTATGAAAATTTAGAAATTAGGCAGATTAAAGAGCAGATATTAAAATCTTTATTTTATCATATAGTTTTTTCCCCTGATTTAGGAAGAAGTAAAGAGGATGATCATCCCTTTTCTTTCTTTTTTCGCTTCGTCTTGGGCGTTTTTCGTTTTTTGAGTTCAATAATGGCAATAATGGAAGATCTAATCAATGAACTTTTGAATAATAATAATTATCTTGCCCACTTGAGTTATACTTATATTGATATTCAAATTGATCTTCCTTAGGTGTTCTTAACCTTAAAATATTTGACTATAGATTTAAATATTATTTTAATCTGCATTCTTACTTCTAACTTTTGTTCATTTTGGACACTGTACTCTTAAAATGTTCATTCAAGTTCCTACACTTGTTCATCTTAGTTCCTGTACTTTCAAACCATTTGTTTTTATTCCTGTATTTTTTAAAAGTAACTATTTTGGTCTATATTTGTTAATTTTTTAACACAAGTTTTATACATAATAGAAACCTATAATATAAATTTATAACTACAAAATTTAGTGAGAGAACTGTCATGCTAAAATTTTAATAGAACAAAATGAGATAAAAAAAATAAAATTATCAAAATAGTTACTTTTAAAAAAAATATTTCGAAAACATAGAAATTCAAATGAATGAAGTTAAAAATATAAACATCAAAATGGATATTTTAAAAATATAAAAATCAAACTAAACTAAAATTTGCCAATAATTCGTTAATATATTTGCTCGAATCACGATAATACCCGCCCAACTACTTCACTTATTGTTGATGGGATATCAAGAATTGCGCCAATTTCTTTCACGCAGTGCAATAAATTCCAACACCTTCTCTCTAAAAAAAATATGTAAAAATATATATTTACAAAAAATACGTGTCTCGAGTTCATTATTTTTATAAAACATTTTTTTTTTCAAAATACATTTTTAGTTCCAACGTAGACGTCTAGTTGGTCTCTAAAGTTTCAAAATGAATACTTTTGATCCCTGAGGTCTGAAATAGGTGTCTAATTGTTCCTCAAAATTAACACTTTTGGTCCTTGAGGTTTAAGGTAGGTGTCAACTTAGTCTGTGAAGTTTTAAAATTAACGCTTTTGGTTCCTGAAGTTTGAGAAATAGTTTTAAATGGTCCCTAATTTTTTTACTATTAATTAATTAATATTAAAATGACATTGCAAATTGTAATTAAATGATTATGTGGAGTCTGAATAGTCAACGACGATATATATTATTTAATTAATATAATTTGCCACATCAGCAACTACAATAAACAATTTAATTTTAATTTGCAACGTTATTTTAATATTAAATAATTAACAGTAAAAAAATCAGGG